TCACGCAAGCGTCTGCCACAGGGAGACGGACAACAGCAGCAAGGCAAAGCGTTGCGACATGAAGAACACATCCAGCAGGTAGAAGCTGGGGCGGTCATTGAAGAGCGCGCGAAGGCCGACCCAGAGCTTTTGGGCACGGCGCACCCCCGCAGTGTCACCCGGGCGCAACTGGGTCAGATGGAGCCAAAACGCATACACTGATAAACCAAGCGTGCAGCCGGCACACACTCAAGTAGCAACTCCAAGTTGTGTACTCGGTCGGCACAGTTGAACTTCAAAATATTCACCGGGTTCGTATGCCACTAAGCCGAGCTACTCCTCCCCAAACCACTGAAGACCTTTTTTCTCCTCTAGATTACAAACCTGGTCTATGTGCTCGCTGAGAGCGATGGCCGTCTCACGCAGCTGTAGAAAGTACGCGATGGTGAACAGAAAGAACAGCGAAGACGACACAAGGGAAAGGAACGCAGCTGGGACGTAGTAGTACGTATTTCCATACGGGTCATCGCTAGTGACATTGTAAGTAGAAAAGATGGCCTGCAATAAACATGGACGATGCCTTTGACTTGATTTTGCCAGGTTTTGGTTTTTTGTTCCTTTTTTAACAATAGGTCTAAGCGTTTTGTCGACAGCAAACTTGGAATAACACACAACTATTTTAGGTTCATTCTACAAACCAGTTTTTTTACACACTAACTGGATTTTGATATTTTACTCGCACGGATATAGGCAATAATAGTTTTAATACATTTTCTGCGTTAATCTCAACCTTTTTAAGCATTTCCTTGCACGAAATCGTACATTTTTGCGTTAGTTTTGTGAAAAACGAAACGTATGTTTAAGTTCGCGAACATTTACTGTTAAAAATAATTGTCACCTGACGACATACTGCCTGATTGACACTCCTGTTATGTAACAGAAATGTTGTTTTCATTTGAACCCTCTCGAAACTTGTGATATTCGGCCCATAGTGCCCCACAACATAAACTTCTACGTACTTTGCTGTACATTTACAAGAAAAGAGAAGTTAATTTTGTTAGCAGCACATTTCGTTACAAAACAGGACACTCGTATTATTACATTTTTTTTACAGGAGCAAAACAAAGTAACTGTTTTTGGTCGGAAACTTTGTTTCCGAGATTTTCATGAACGCTGATTTTTTTACAGTAAGGCCTGTAAAAATACAGTATGTGCTGCTCACAAAATTAATCACATTTTCGCTGTAAATTTACAGCAATTTTTTTAGCAGTGTTTGCACAAAAATAGGCAAACAAATATAGCCTGTAATCAACCTTGGTCCGCTCGGTTATTGCAAAATAGGGTCCAGCGATGCATCCCACTCCACCGAAGAGGAACAGCATGGTGACATGCAAGCGTAGGTTTCGCACTCCGTTAGTCCAGCGGTCCCGAAGAGAGCGGTTCGTAACAGATAAGAAGGATTCCTTCAAAACCAATCAGAGTGACATTTTATCAAAGGAAACCCACGGGTGTGAATGTCGCACACTTGTGTGGACGCCATTCGTAGACAAAAGGGTGTACATTTTTTAACTTTCACATTTTTACATTATACATTAAAAGCGTACATGGGGTATGCATACATAAGGTATTAAGTAAAGTATACATGTCATGTACACTTTATTTCAAGTATACCATGTTCACATTTTAATTGACAGAGTATGTCATACCTCATACTCCGCAAAGTTCCACATCATTTTTCGAAAATTAGTTGCGCACGCCCAGACCCAGGGATTGACGATGCTCGGAAGAAGTGCCAAAATGCTTTCCAAACAGAACAGCAATGCATCCAACTTGGTCTCGGGATCAAGAACTGTCATTAACTTTCGCGCGAAAGAACATCACCGTTAGGAACTCATAACAAATCGTGAGATAAACAGAAGATTTGCTTGATAGTCTTGAGTTTACTATGTACCTGATCTTTCAAAAGGCAGACATAAGAGACGCAGAATATGCAATACAGCAGAACGTCGTACACGAGGCTGGATCGACACACGGACAGAAGCGGCTTATCTGTAGGCTCAAGAAAACTCATTACGGCAAGCTGTTAGTTTAGCTTCTCTGCAGTGAGAATTGGGAGTGGAATACACATCAAAACGTCATCGAAACATAGTCGAAATAATGCAGCCCGCGTCAAAACTATATCTTTTGGATATGAATTTCTGTCAGTGGGTCAATGCAGTGTAACACATTCACCCCGAAAACTTACAGCAGCGATGAAAAGATACGGGAACTTGGCCGATGGCAGCCATTCCCAGAACAACCACTGCCAAGGGACTGCTACGAACGAAAGGGTAGAGTGAGTCCTTCAGCAAATAGAATCAGAAACGTGCGTTGCATTATCATTACATATTATAACGCGAAACGTTTGGATGGTAGGAAAGTATTTGAGGCGTCTCATACCGCCCTTGTATCCCCTCCGTGCTGCATCTTTGGTTCAGCCTTTGCTTTACGTTTGGTGTCGACTGATTGCCAGGCATTTTTGATTTCACCAGCAACATAGACGGGCTGGCGGATAACGCGACCAGAGAGCGCGGCTAATGCCCAGCGCCCGCCAACACTGCACTGGAAATCCAAGTGTACGAATGTCGCTCACCTGCAGGTGAGCGACATTCGTACACTTGGATTTCCAGTGTGTGGAGAGTTCAGTCTTAGTTTGTACGAACATCAAACCTCATGAAATAGAAAACCTGAATACGTCACTAGAAAGCTGAAATACTAACACGTCCGCGTCGTTCATTTTCCTCGGTTCACTCTCTGGTCGTAGCCCTTATAGTGGCGCGCCTCCTCGAAGAATAGATCGGCTAGGTGCTATCGATTCTTTTTCAAGAAAGGTGGCGGACACTTTCGCCTTGGCTGCGATCGAAGAGAGTAAAGGCTCACGTTCAAAGTTGTATGAGCACGGTAAAAACAATGTCTGATTTTTTAAGGGAAAACTTTCTAAAATCCCTTGGTTAGCCAAAAACCCCTCAAATTTCGAAAAAGTTGAAATTAAAAAAGGAGAGATTTTTCCTTATTTTTTGAGAAGAGACTTCAAAATCTGAGGAGAGATCTGACAAGTTGTCTTCAAATTTGGAAGTTCCGCAAAGTTTTCCCATTTTCCCCAATGTCAAACTTATTTTTACCATGAACTCTGCCAATTCAAATGTGTACAATGGTACATATCAAATAAAGTGTACATGACATGTATGCTTCAATTAATGTGTACATGCCTATGTACAGATTTATACACATTTATAAAAGTGTACATAGGCATGTACACATTAATTAAAGCATACATGCCATGTATACTTTATTTAATGTGTACCATGTACACATTTGAATTGACAGAGAAGACAAAAATGTGTATTACATTAACATTTAATGCTAAGTCACCGCGCTGCATACGCAGACAGCCTGACTGTCGAAACGTTTCCACCGTCATGATGCACGCAGGGCCTTCCGGAGGACGCAGTCCGCGCCCGCGTCACGGTGGTCACGGTTTAGCTGGCCGGCCGGCCCCCTCCTCGGCGCTCAGTGTTCTGCATTGTCCCACCCGCCTATAGATTAGCGAACAGGCCAGTTCGAATTCGAACGAACTCGAACAAATTTGGTCTAAAAATCTTCGAACGAACACGAACAGCCAGATTTTTCTGCGAACAAACCGAACCGAACAATGGACTGTTCAATTTCGATCCGAACACGAACAATTATTACAATTTGTTTTTTGCTTATCAGTTATAAAAACTATCCATGCTGGTTTACAATAGTTCCCGCATTAACGTTTAAAATTTGAGTTTTCATTGACCTGCCACTGCCCCCTAAATTACACCTAATTATGACGCGTCTTTCTGAAATATACTTCAAATCTGTTAGTCTACGAACTTCTATTCCAGTAGTACTGAAACATTTCGAATCCGAACACCTCATGTTCGTGGTTGAGCGATCACGAACAGCTCGATGTTTCGTTCGAGTTCGATCGAATGCGAACATGTTCGCTCATCTCTACACCCGCCGACACAGCGGCCACCGACCCCTCGCCAGCACCATGCAGTTCACACTCGTCCTCGTCCTGTGCATTCTGCCCGCGGCAGTCTACGGGGGGGTACAAATGATCCAGGCGATTTTTACCCTTCCTTGGGAGTACTGATGTCCGCGAGCATTTGTACCTAGGGCACGTGTCCCCTAGGGTACAAATATCCTCCTACACCAGGACCTAGAGTGTCAAACAGGCCCTGCACCGGGACTCCACATTTATGTTATTGCGTGGATGACATTTGAGATTTGTGCCTTGTAATATATGGTGGTACATTTAAAAGCACAAAGTAGATTTTACTCATAAACCAGATACTGGCCTACATCTGATGAAAGTCTGTAGAAGTGCGCCTTCGTAAACAGTAACATACCGAGTTTGCTATGAAGTGAACACATAACAAGATAGGTTAGCAGGGTTAGGTCAATACTCTAAGTCAAGTTCAGAGGAATATGTACGTCAATTTTCAAAAACGCAAACCCCACACAACTAGCGATTCTAGGTAGAATGCTCGTTAATTATAGAAATCAATAGAGACGAGAAAACGCACAATAAACGCAAATAAACACAAAATACAGAGATAGCGACCTAGGGCACAGATTATGACAGAGATGGTGCTGGCGCTCATTTAAATAACAACGAAACTTGTTGATTCGCATTGTGCTAAAATATTCGACAAGTTGAATGAGAACTCATAATTCTGAGTGTGTGTCATTACCTCATACTCCGCAAAGCCCCACAGCATTTTTCGAAAACTAGATGCGCACGCCCAAACCCAGGGGCTGACGGAGCCGGGCAAGAGAGCCAGAAGGCCTTGCAAACAGTACAGCCGCGCATCCCAATTGGTGCTCGGACTAAAAACAGTCACTGACTTTTGCGCAAGAGAACATTTTGTTAGGCAATCATAACAAATCGTGAGATAGACGAACACAAGATTTGCTGGATAGTCTCATGTTTACCATGTACCTGATCTATCAAAACGAAAGCGTAAGAGACGCCGAATATGCAGAAAATCAGAACGTTGTACACAAGGCTGGATCGGCGAACGGAGAGAAGTGGTTCGTCTGTGAGCCCAAGAGAACCCGTTACGGCACGCTGCTAGTTTGGCTTCTCAGTGTGAAATGGAAGTGGAGTGCATATCGAAACGTCATCGAACACAAACGGTCGAAATGGTGGAATCGGCGTTAAAATTATGTCCTTTCGATATGAATTTCTCTCACTGGGTTAATTCAGAAAAACATCCACCCCGAAAACTTACAGCAGCGATGAAAAGACACGGGAACTTGGCCGATGCAAGCCAAACCCAGTACAACGACTGCCAGAGGGCTGCTTCTAACGAAGGGGTACAGCGAATCCTTCAGCAACAGAATCAAAAACGTTCGTTCCATTCTCACCACTTACCACACAAAATGCCCTTTAGATGGGGGGCCAGAATGTATTTGAGGCGTGACATACCGTTCTTGTCTCCTCTCCGCCCTGCTTCTGTGGTTCAGCCTTTGCTTTAGGTTTGGTGTCAACTGATTGCCGGGCATTTTTTATTTCACCAGCAAAATAGCGAGGCTGGTGGATAACGCGGCCAGAGAGTGCCACCAATGCCCAGCGCCCGCCCAACCTGGAGGGAGTCCAGTCTGTGTGGCACTTTAATTGTTTCAAAAATGTAAAGGGTTGATTTAAAAACGGATCCAATAAGTCGAAATATTGTGGCTAAGAGGTGTGCACTAAGAGATCCATACTCTGCAAGGTTTTTTGCTCGAAATGAATGAGACAAATTTTCCTCGCCCAATCAGAGCCAGGACTAAGCCCCATTTGAGTCATACGCACCGAATTCGCAGTCTGAATGAGTAAGATTTCCCTGACCTCGACCACTAAGGTATTTTATTGGAATGAAGATCACGCCACACGCTACGGCGCTCCGGAGGTCCTTAGCGATGTAGCTGCCACAGCTTCCTACAGAGCTAGCGCGTGACGTCACCAACCCGATGCTCGCGCTAACGAAAACGGCCCGTGTAGTAAACGAAAATACGCCCTCAGGCAGAAAATGCCAGGACATCACAAGGCTTCAATAGACGATTTGGGCTACCTCTAGATAAGAACAAATCAGGAAGAAATGCGACAAGCATCATATGGCCTCCCAATATGGCCGCCCATGGGAGAGATAGGGCTGGCGGCCGTGATGCTTGCAGATTTTTTCCTGATTTCTTCTTATCCAGAGGTAGCCCAAATCGTCCATTGTCTGCTTTTCAATTGCTTTTTCAGGCGATTTCTGAAAAACAATTGAAGGCTTGTGAGGTTCTGGCATGTTCTTTCTGATCTTCTTTATTCCAATAAAATACCCCATTGCAGTAAGGAACCTTACTCTGGGTGAGGACCGTATATTATGACCTCACGACATTAAAAAAAAACGACAAATACGATGTCGATCAAAACGTCAATACAAAAGCAAACTTGATCACATCAAAAAGAAGAGATCGAAAAATACTTACACGTCCGCGTCGTCCATTTTCCTAGGTTCGCGCTCTGGCAGTATGGCCGTTCCACTGGAGCGCCTCCACGAAGAGTGAATCGATTGGGTGATATCGATTCTCTCTCGAGAAAGAACACTATGAAGCCTGGGCTGCAATCGAAGAGAGTAAAACTTTACACACAGAATTGTCTGCGTACAAAAGTGAACGTTACATTTAAAGTTAGTGCTTAATCATCGCGCTTCATGCGCAGGCAGCCGTTATCATCTGACTGTCGGAACGTTTCCACGGTCGTGATGCACGCAGGGCCTTCCGGAGGACGCAGTATGCGCCCGCGTCACGGTGGTCACGGTTTAGCACGTATAAGAGGGCGGCCGGCCCTCTCCTCGGCGCACAGTGTTCTGCATTGTCCCACCCGCCGAC